ATAAAATTTACAAAAATAATTGTCCCTTTGGATGCGCGAACGCAACTTTGTATTCAATATGTGTCAAATGGTATAGTTGATCATGTTATGTTATGAAAAATACAGTTTTGTAAGACACTGCCAACATTAAACAAATGGCAATTAAGTTACGTGCCCCTGTATATTAGGGCACATATACAGTTATCGCATGTACAGCAGCCTAGAAAAGCTGACTAAGAATAATAGGAATAATAGGAACGAAAAACGTAATTTTTACGTAAATTAAATGTTTTATAAGAAACTGGTAACATTAAAAAAATAGTATTTACTTGGTATTTCATAAAAACTTTTTAAACATTATTTGGTATGTACATAAAATTTACAAAAATTATTGTGATCTTTTTGTAGCGTGTTATTAACACAAAATATTTATGAGAATCTGACAAGCTTGCAGTGTTCCCGTTAAAAAAAATTCATATTTTTATAATGCTTTTTTAATACTTTTTTAAATACTTTAGTTGCATAAAAACAAAATTGGCAAAAAATCTTTTTATTAAATAATTATCTGTTATCATATAAGCAAAAAAACTGAGTATACAATTTTTTTCTTTTATTGGACAAGCACAATGTTTTTAATAAAATATTTCTTTAATGGTTTGTTTCCCTGCTTAAAATACCCCCATAGAGACCTATACAAAATAATCTATCGGGCGCTACCGGATTCAATATGTGCATTGCATGGTTTTTTCCGGATACGGCCCGATAGAAAATTTATAGGAAATTACCTATAGGCACACCATAACTTTTACATTTTCCCTATTGAGACCGATAGCAACCCAGGTAGCACACTGACGTCTGCTGACGTTTAAATGAGGTTGAAATGACGTCAGAAGACGTCATTTAAACGTCAGCAGACGTCAGTATGCTACCTGGGAAATAACTCAATGAAGGATATATAGGGATATCCCTATAGAGCAACCATAAAACATTTGTCAAAATTTTATTAAAACCTATAGGGTTCTATGGGGGAAAACTAATTTCTACATTTATGTGTATTTTCCCCATTGAAACCAATAGCAAATAAATCATCCACCCTATAGAACAACCATAAATCCCAACTATGGGTCCTATACATACCGATACACCCTATAGGAACACCATACATTCCAATACAAATATCTATCGGTTTGAACAGGGTCTCTATGGGGTATTTTAAGCAGGGTTGCTGCTATTGACCTTAAGCACCTGTTATATATACATAATTATATATATATATATATATATAAATAATTAAACAAAAAACAAACGATTTTTTTGTTATTTATATTTGCAACATCCAAATATTAAGCAATAATACAATTAAAGGGGACAGTGGAAGAAGGGTTAACTAACTTTTTTAACAATAAAGGACAAAAAGTATTGTAATTGCAATACCACCAAATTTATTTATATTTACATATTCACAGCGAGAGATTAAAACGTAAAAGTTTAAAGTTTAAAACCTACAAATAATTTTTAAAAGTGGAAACCAAGTATAGTGAAACAAACAATTTTCATAAAGTGCAAACTAAAATAGCGTAACGGTCAATAAAGAGTGAAGTGTTCAGTGATATGAAAGAGTTAAGTGATAAGTTTCAGCTTCTGGTCCTATAGGTATACCACCTGTCATTGGATGATTTTCACTAGACAAACAAAAGAGGTCAAACCAAAGGGGAAGTGGCCGCAAAAATTGATAAGTATCCTTAAGAATATGCATGACCTAACAAAATTTGCAAATTAACCATGACAGATATCTTTAAAACCCTAAGAAAGGCACACTGCTTAAACTCTAGAAAAAACATCAGTAACACTAGAAAGACAATACTAACCAAACACCATAAATAATAAACAAAAAGAATAAAAAACCAACACTTCCCAATCGAACTATCGCGGTGTAGGACAATAAATCTGTCAACATCAAATGCGTAACGCATGAAACACAAACGAGACCAATAATAAACATTTGACACACAGATAAACTAACACCCAATAAATTATTATAACCATAACATAGTAAAAACAGCATAATAATCAAACTCTATTGGATTTGTAAACACATTAGATTATAACAGAATAATTGCGCTTGACATTTGTTTAACTAATAAATAAATGCAATACTTAATTTTGGAATTTAAGAAAAAAAGACAAAAATCTACCACAAAACGTGCTTGGGCAACACAATAACTAAAAAAAAATTGTTAGAAATTTCGCACTACTGCGGCAATAATCAATTAAAAAAAAAAACATCAAAAGCATGTGCAGGAACAATCCTACTTGGACACAAACAATAACAACAAAGACGTAGACCAAGACGTAGGCTCATGCAGCAAAATAACAACTCCCGAACTCCATACGTTAATCCCAAATGTTTGGAGTAATACTAACTGCCTGGTCTAGGGGGGTACCGCGTTGTACTTAGATTTAAGTCGGCGTAATTGAGGAGCGAGCAGACGGGGCCGGACGGATCCATTTGGGTGATTTGCGGAAATAAATTATTTTATTTTTGATTTCTTTCTGCAAGTCACCAGAATGAATTTGTCTGGTTTTGTCTGATCGCTCCTTAATTGTCCCCCAAACACCAAACTGTCTATCCCTCCCGTCCTACCTCCTTCATTACCCTACTGGACGTATAGCATCGGCTCGGCGAACCCGGGAATGGCTACTAAAACTATTGGCATTTCGCTCTCGAGCCCTAATTAGGGGACAGTACGGGACGAAATGGACATTCGCAACCAGCAAACACGGGTGGCAAAAGAAAATCGGCGCAAGGAAACAGAGGCCTATGCGGGGCCCGGGAGTGATGAGGCAATGGGGCCGGTTATATGTCTTATACTCATACTCATACTTTACATATTCAATCACAACATTGTCTGTTCTTTATTATTAAAAATGTTACATTGTAAACAGTTATTTTAATTATTTTCGTAATATTTATTATATAATACTCCTAAATTTGTATTACATTTACCCTTATATCTTGAACACTGCGCTCTCATTGGCGGCCTTAAAAATTAAATAAAAATTGTGCATTTTTGTTTTAGATTTTCACAAGGAACCCCTTTCGTTTGGTCCGGTGATTTTGGGACACCCTGTATCTACATATTATCTTACCTATTTTAAAAGTTTTGGAAGCAAAAAACTTAATTATTATTATAATAAATGTTTATAGGAGTCCTATAATAGGACCAAAAGTTAATCTTTTTTATATTATCCAGCTATGAATAAATTTAAGCGATTTTCGTATCTTTTATTTTTGGCGCCATTTTGGTTCCACCAATTTAAAAAGGCAAAATATAAAAAGTAATAGGTTAAACACCTTTTGTATAATATATTTCCTCCAACTTTTTTTTTTTTTCAGTTCGGTCTTGACACTCGAAGTGGATAGACGCGTCAAGTAGTTAAAGATTCCTCTCCTAGCAGCGTATACGAGAGAAACGTAATAAAGTTCCAAAAACGAACCTAAGTATTCGGAAATATCGGTAATCGGTAATAAATAAATAAATAAACAAACAAGTGCAGTGTAACAAATACAGTGAGTACAGACTACAGACAAGTGCAAACGAACATAGTGAAACGGTCAAAAGTGTTAAGTGACAAGTGTCAGTGCCTGAGCGGTCGCACCATCTGTCAACAGGACGATTTGCACTGGCCAAACAAAAGAGGCCAAACAAGGGAGGAACAGGCCACCTGCAAATAAATGCTAAGTATCCTCAACTCATTCACATGACCTAACATAATTTGCAAATTAAACTAAACAAGGCACATTGCCTAATCCCTACAAAAAAAAACAATAATCATCGGCAACAAAATAAAATAAAAAGTCAATTTTCCAAGAAAAAACCAAACAGCCGATCGCGGACACACACCAAAGTTGAACAGGGCAATAAAGCTGTCAACAAAACAATTTAAGTATAACAAACCGAGACCAAATAAATATGACACTTAAGACATAAATAACACATAAACTAAGAAAACATAAACAAAGTAAAAAAAGCACTCTAATCAAACTCCATGGAATTTGTAAACACTTTATAGTAAAAGTAAAAAAATACCCCCCACTGGGAACTGCCTTATCGCATGACACGTTAGCACAAAACATGCACTTCTCACAAATTAACAAAACCAGTTGGGAGCAACTAAGCAACAATAAAAATAAAATAAAAAAAAACAACCGACACACTTTACCAAATTCAGGAACTATCCGACACGGACAATGACAATAATGAACAAGACGAAGACCTCGACTAGGAAACTACACCGCTGCAGCAATAACAACTCCCCAACTCCAAATAGTAATCCCAAATCTTTGGAGTAATACTAATCGACTGGTCTAGGGGGATTCCGCGTCGTACTTAGTTTTAAGTCGGCGTAATTGTCCCCCAAAAACCAACACCTTCCCGTCCCTCCTCCATACCCCACTGAGCGTATAGCATAGGCTCGGCGAACCCGGGAATGGCTATTAAAACTATTCGCCTCTCGCTCTCGAGCCCCAAATAGGGGACAGTACGGAACGCAATGGACATTCGCACCCAACAAACACGGGTGAAGCCGTGCAGTTGCTGGGGAAGAACAAAAATCGGCGTAAGTAAACATAGGCCTGTACGGGGTTCGAGAGTCAAGAGGAAATGGGGCTGGTTATACGTCTCTTATACTCACTCATACTCATACTCATATTTCCTCCAACTTTTTTCATTTTGGATACTAATCTAGGCACATAGTGCGGCGGGGAAGGCGTATAAAATATTATTTTATATTAGCATGCCTTTTTTACATTTTAAAATTTTGACATTGGACCTGGGCTGTTTTTTAATTTCGGCTTTTTTTTAATTTTTAACATAAAAAAATAATTTTTTAAGTTTTGTAAGAAAAATTTGTTTATGTTCCAATGTATTTAATGTTTACATAATGCAAAACCATAAAGCGGAGCGGAGACCGCAGGTTGAAAGCTAGTAGAAAATAAAATTATAATAATGGTAAATTACCTGGGGATAAACTATTTGGATCTGCTATATACTGTACATGAGCAATTTCAGTCTTAAGGTTGGCGACGCGTTTTCTATAATAAAATATCACCAATACAATTATTGCAATTAATATGAGTGAGACCATAAATCCCGCTACAATACCCCCATATCCTGCTTCATCAGGGTTGGAATTGATTCGACTTAATATGTTCGATTCATCGCAGTTAGACCCGGAAAAACCATGCTTGCATGTGCAGCCCTGAGCAGGATGACAAATAAAATTCTCGTTTCCGCATTCACAAGGCGTCATGCAATGGTCTCCATAGTATCCCTCTGGGCAAACTAAAAATGATATTAAATAAGTATAATTTAGTTATAAAAAATATTATGAATAAAATTAAAATTTTTAAAATTGAATTCAATAAAAATAAATAATATATAATAAATGGAATTTATATTAGCTAACTGAGCGTCGTGTTCTAAAAATAGAGCAAAAACCAAAATTAGCATGTATAAAAAAAATTTAATTCATTTATTTGTTCAAAATAAAATGACAAATAAACGAAAACTGACCAAAATTGATTTTTATCAAAAACTTTTCAATCCAAAATTTTCAGAAAAATCAAAGTTGAAAATTAATTATAGACAATAAAAATCAAGCAAAATTTGATCAATACTGAAATTTTCTGAGAAATGTAAAATTTTATCCTCTTTGTAAACCCATCTGTAAACATACATTATGTCCAACTTTAATTTCTGTGAATTTATGAGCACTTTTTGAATGTAATTATTTTACGCAAGAAAATTAATGTTCTTAAAAAATCGAATCTTGTTCAATTTTTGCATACAGCTTAGTTATAACTAAATCAAAAAAATGTCAATGCAAAATCTCGCAAAATTTACAACTCGACACTACTTGTAAGAAATTAGAGATATAATAATACTTCTTACTTTCACTGCAGTGAGTTCCAGTGTAACCTGGTTTGCAACGACATACGCCATCATTTCTTCTACATTCACCGCCATTTAAACATTTACAATGTTGAGCACAGTTTATTCCAAAGCTTCCTGTTTGACAAGGAGTCGAGCAATTTTTTCCCATCCAACCTGGCAGACATTGACACTCTCCTGTTATTTAAAAAGAGTTTTTGAAGTAATATTTAAAAATCAATTTCTCTTTAAATAAACATCATAATTCACGGTGCTGTTCTGAGAGGTGATTTTTGGACTTTCTGTGAAACCTAATTTTTTTTATATTCTTGGTAATTAGGTCATAACTAAAATTTTAAGAGCAAAATAAAAAAAAATTGACGGTTTGAATTGTTTTAATTGGCTGTTTATTAAAAATATTATGCACTCTTTCAATTATCCAATTAAAACTAGCGATTTAATTTAAATATTTAATATTTGCATAACTAAAAAAAAGGTTTTTACAATTTTTTTTTTATATATTTTACTGTTTTGTTGCAATAAACGTTCAAACTTTTAATTTAATATATCCTTAAAGGTTGCCATGAAACTTATAGGTCAATTCTGGGTTCTCTCGTAAAATTTCTGTAAATTCGTAAATCTATAGCTTACGATGATCTGTAACTATAATGCTTATAGAATCGTAAAAGTGGCAAGTCTGGGATGTTATCTGTAAAGTAGTATAAACGAACTACTGCAACTTCACGCCTATTTACTTACGATCAAACATAACCTATATTTTTATATTTATTTATTTTATTATTTCTTTTTTGACCGAGTAGGCTGTGGTTTATTTTTTTATAATATTATTTTATTTTATTTTTATATGTAAAATAAAAATATAAAGATTTTGTATTAATACAATAATTCTTTGTATTAATACAATTATTGTTTTATTTAGTCAAAATTAAAATTATTTCTTATGTAGTTGGCCCAGGCTGCTTGTCTCAATTGATAAATATTACCATTATCATATCTACATTGACATAATTAAAAATATTCATATTTTTTATTTTTAAAATACCTTGACATAACCTAACAAAAACCTTCTGTCATTAGCAACGATTGGGAAACACCCGATCGTAAATATTTACGATTCTATAAGATTTTCTGTAAGCTACAGGAAGCGCAGAATTGCAAATTGTCTATAAGCTTATAGAAAGTTACAGATTTGCTTATAGATCCTTACAGATGTGCGCAGAATTGATCTATTAGATCTATTAAAAATTTATTTGACGTTTGAATTGTCATTTTCAGTATACGTCACGGTCTTATATAAAGGTCTTGCAACTTTAAGCTTCGAGGTGGCTTCCTTAACGTGCCAAGCCGCTAGGTGGCGCTAAGATCGAAGGGGTAAAGTCAATTAAACTACTACTTAGTTAAATGTGGAACTACTGCATAACCATAACCTAACTTTTTAAATTCTTTTTCTATGTTTTGTTTACATTTTCAAAAATTTAATATTTGTGAGTTTGTTTCGGATAATTTACGTTAACAAAATAGGACAACAAAGTCTATAGTCTATGCACAAAGTCCTCGGCCGTCACATGTTAATGTATAAAATACATACGTATACGGCTAATGTGTAAACATGGATAGTTTATTAAGTAGCTGGGTAGTTTATAAACTGGCCAAACTGTCAGCTATTTTAATTGAAAACGTATTTTTAACTAAATTAGCGGCTAGTTTGTAAACCAACCAAGGGTCTTGGTTAATTTACTTAAAATTATTTAGGAATAGCTGGATAATTTGTAAACTATCCAATTCAATTTGGCTAATATGAAAACCAAAATTTCTAGTAACACAACATAGCCAAGCTTTACAAACTAACCAACCAATATTCTGGCTAATTTATTAATAACCGATTTTTTTATTGTCTTCGCGGGGATGGGTTGTTTGTTTATTTAAAATAATATATATTTCACCAACACGATGTGCTTAATTATATAATAATCATACAAAATGTGAAAGTGTCAATAATATGTTTTTTATTGCACATAGCCATGTTTTTAACCGCTCCTTATTTGTTAGCACTTTAAACATGGACCGCTTAATTTTAATGCCGGAACGATAGCTTTGCTGGTTACATTTTGGCACAACACAGGACTTCATGTCTATTAAAAAGCACGAATACAAATTTATAACAAGAACAAATATAACAAGAACAAATATAACAAGAAAAAATAGAACAATATAATATAACAATAACGAATATCACAATAACAATAAGAAAAAACTCCCTGTAACAAAATACACAAGCTTGTTTATAAAAATGTAGGTTATGTTTCTTCACAGAACATAAGTAGGTAGTTCATTTGACCTTTTACCCCATAGACTTTAAGGACTTAGAGCCGGTTTTACAATCATTAGATTAAGTTAGCTTATTTGGCGGATAACTTTCATAGAAACCTTCTATCTAAGAAAATTATCCACCAGAGAGCTTATCTAACGATTGTAAAACCCAAAGATAAAGAAGGTTAAAACCATAGAAAAAGAATATTAAAACGACCTTTAAACATCTATGGTTTATCCATCCAACTCGATGCGCCATCTGGTGGGTGTCTCATTAGAGAGGTCACTTTTCCTATTGAAATTGGGCGAAGTTGCAAGACCTGTATATAAGACCGTGGTATACGTATTCTATAATTTTTGTTTAGTTTTTTAAAGTGTTTTTTATAAACAAAAATGAAAAATTGTAGTAAAAGTTACGAAGAAATTCATGAAATTTAACTAAGGACCGGTTTATTCATCTTTAGTAAAGTTTATCGGGCCGATAACTTTCATGTCTTGGCAATATCTAGTATCCAAAGAAATTATTCGTCAAATAAATCAAAAATGAATAAATCGGCCCTAAATAAAATGTGGCACCCTTACAATTATTGTTTAATAAATGTATACTATACATTTAACCTTAAATTAAAACTTTAAACGTGTATTACAACAAAACAGTAAAAGATATAAAAAGTTTTAATTGGAGAATTGAAAGTGTGCATACATATTTTTAATGAACAACCAATTAAAACAAAATTAACCGTCAATTTTTTTTTATTTTCCTCTTAAAATTTTAGTTATGACCTAATTAACAAGAATATAAAAAAATTAGGTTTCACAGAAAGTCCAAAAATCACCTCTCAGAACAGCACCGTGAATTATGTGTTATGTATATTAGTGAAAAATATTTGTAATTTGGGAAAAGCCTTGTGCCAGCATGGGTCAAGATACTTGGAACAGATTGTTGATCAAGAATTGTACAAGAATTGGTCCAGATTCTTGGATCATTGGGCAAGACTTGGGCCAGACTGTGGCCAGAATATGTCAAGAATTTGACCAGAAGTCTGAGGCCATCTGTTACTAAACTTAGAGACTATCCTATAGAGTAGAGGTTCTCATTTTACAGTAGTTTCATTCACAATACTCTAGTCGAGAAGTGTGTGTAAGAGAGAAGGATAAGGTGCGCCTTACTCTCTCTGTCTAAGGTGAACCGAAGTTTGCCGAAGCTAAAATTTTTCTTCCCACAAGTCCCACAGGTGAAAAATTGTATGCAAAAAAAAACTTCGACCAAATATCGTGTATATCATTTGATTCAGAATTTTACGCGTTGAATTTATGTGGTATCGAAAATTTAATGATTTTTTTTGTAAATTTTTAAAAAAATTAGTACTTTTCAAAACCATTTTCTTGAGCCAAGATTTTATTTTCAGCCAAAAAAATTTTTTGGAGGCATTATTTCAAACTCAACGCTAAACTGTAAAGAACTGACGTTTTCAAACTTATTGACTACATCATAATTGAGAACCACTGAAATGCTATACTTTTCACTTTCAAGTGAAAGTACGGAAATAGGAGGCGCGCTTGTCGTATTTTCAGTTTCTCGCGTCTATCTCAAGACTCTGGGCCAAGGATCTGGTCAAATTCTGGCCTAAGTCTGGAGCCAGTCTGGATAAAGAATCTTGGTCAAGTGTCTTGATCAAGAATTGTCAAATTGTGTATAAAGTCCTTCTCCAAGTATACTTGCCGGATAATCTTGTCCCATTCCATTGCTACTAGGGGATATGCAAATAACATTTATTAATAATGTACGTACATACGGTGCTTGCAAATCCAAGTCCGACTGGGTTGGGAAGGACGCGTGAAAATAACAAGGATAGAACGCCAAACAGAAGGCGCTTACAATACGCAGGCCTGCCGGCTCTGACCAATCAAATTCTGTTTGGCATTCTATCCTTGTTCTTTTCACGCTGGTATTGAACAACCGTCCTTCCCAACCCGGTCGGATTTGGATTTGCAAGCACTGTATATTACAATATATTAGTAGGTAATATATTAATAATATATTATACGTATAAATTTATTAAATGGATACATGGATTCCTATCATTTGGAAAGTAAGGTAATTTTGGAAAGCTAAGCATAGTTTTTATATGCTAGGTCCAAAACGCCTGTTTTTTTTTAAGTAATATTGTTTGATTAATTGATTTTTAAATATTGCAAATATTATCTACCAGTGATATGATGACATTCTCCGCCATTCTTGCAGGAACAATTAAAGGCACAATTTTTCCCAAAAGTTTCAAAGGGACATGGGTGTTCACATGTTAAACCAATAAAACCATCTGGACAAATATACTCTCCAGTTATATGATCACAAGTTTTATTTCCTAAAATAAAAGCAAACGTGTAAAGTTTATTATGAGAGTACACAATATAAAAATAATAAAGAATCTTTTAACAACCACGGCCGTACGGCCGAGGGATCAGCGGATATGATGTATATTTAATTAAATTGATGATACTTCATGCCAACATAAAATTTATAATAAAAATTTCAGACACAAATTCACTTTAGGTGTAAATATTTACCTTTAAAAACCTCAGGACATTTTTGATGGCATCCTATACCATAATACCCTGGATCACATAGTTCATTGCAATCATTACCTTTCCAGCCTCTGGAACAGTAGCAACTCCCAGACTCTGGATCACAAGAGCTATTATTCTTACAATTACATTCGAATTCACATTTATTACCATATTTTCCACGTGGACAATTTGATTCGCATCGAATGCCTAAAAATAATTTACTATATTACAAGTATTTTCATCACAAATAACATCTTTTGCAGGGTGTCCAAAATGTGTGTGAGCAGTTTGTTTGATCATTTACTGTGAAAAGCGGAAAGAAGTTGGGTCATTATGGGAGTCAAATTGTTTCGGGGAAGTTTTGTTGCATTGGAGTCGTTTATCGAAGACCAGAACGTTTTTTGGACCACGCGGAGATTTTTTAGACTCATTAAGGCACATTATAATCGTGCTCCAGTGAAAATCAGTGAAAGAGTTGGGTGAAGAAACTTGAGGAGACCGTTAACAAAACGCTGAAAAAGAAAAGAGGCCCAACCTGTGAGCAAGTGCAAGAGGCTGTTATTTTATTATACTTTTAAAATGGAAACTTGCCGCGAGACACATTATTTAAGATTTTCTGAACAGTAGATTTAAAAAAATGCAACGCAGCTGAATGTGTAGGAATAGCAGGGTGGAGTGAAAGCTCTATAGAGCGGACACTCACGGTTTCACCATTTCTGTCCGCATATAAGAAATTTAAATAATAAATAAACAAAATAATACACTGGAAAAAAAATTTAAAAAAATTGATTTTTTTAAACTTAAATGAACCGAGTTAAAATAACCTAGTATGGCGCGGAATTTTAGTATTAAACCTACAATAAAAAAATCATACAAAAATATACTTAATTACCGTACCTTTCCATTCCGGTTTACAAATACACTTTCCAGAAATTGGGTCACAGCCTATATGATGGCCATCTTGACACTCACAAATCTGCTCACAGTTTGGCCCAAAATATCCTTGTTCACATTTATTCTCGCAATATTGGCCAGTGAAACCAGATCTACAGGTACAGCTCCCTAAACAGAAAGATAGGGTCAAAACGAGTGAAACCGGATACCTAAAAGTTTTTTAATGTATTTTGAATTTTTTTTTTTTTAATTCGATCTCTTTTGTAAACAATCACGAATCGAAAATTTACACATTAATTTTTTATAAATGTATATTTCGGAAACTAATAGAGATATCTGTACCCAAGAGCCAAGGCTGTATTAAGTCCACTTTTTTAAAATCACGTTACCAATTGTGTTTTTCGATTTTTCCATTGGTAAACAGGATTAAGTTCTGGATTTTGATACATACAAAAACTTAGTAAGCCAGGACCTGTTTACCATTAAAAAGAGCGGAAAAATGTAGGAAAAAAATGTGTAATGTGATTTTTTATAAAGTGGACTTAATACAGTCTGACTCTGGGTTATGTATATTAGGATGGCGCAAAAAAACTACCATTTCTTTCCATTCTACAAAAAAAATATGTTTTAAGAGCACTCTCCAAAATTCAGCTCGATTAAACATTTTTGTCACTTCCAAATTCCAAAATTAGGTATCTACTAAGGCTGTCAATTCCTGAAGTAATACACGGTTAACCGGTTCGACAAGTTTTAACCGGTTTCGATTTTAACCGTAACTGGTTTAACTGTAGCATTCACCGGTTTAATCGTAGCAAATTACTTGTTTTTAATAAAAAGGGATCACTTCACTAACCCTTTCACCTTTCTTTACCCGTGACAACCAGGCAGTTCATGCTTGATTTTTTAAAATTATTCATTTATTTATTTATTTATCATCATCATAATTACATTTTTTTACATTTTTTATTGTACATTCTTATTTTATAAAGTTAAATTATATTTTAAGTTTGATTCTGCCTAAATCCAAAAGGATTTGTGCTGCAGATTATAATAAATGGAAAAAATTATAAATACATTCTTGTGTGATGGACTAAGATTATGTTTTTACTATACAGTGCTACATTTATTTCAATTAAATTTTAAATATTTGTAATACAATAATATTTATATATAAAAAAGGTAAACAAAACAAGCAAAACACTACGTTCGATGACATTGGCATGGAGAAAGTGACACAGTCACGTATTAAATTAAATTAAAGGATTATAAAATATGTACCTATATACATATACAAAACTATTTATTATTCATTACCTCAGAAACTTGTAGAATATATTCAGATCAGATGTTTGTATAAACGTTTTTAAATCGGCTTTACGTAGATTTTTTGATAAATTTTTAATTTTTTTTGGTATAATATTATACAGATTTGGGACCATGGTCCCATGCATAATAAAAAATACCTTTTTGTAAGGCTGAAAAATAAAATATAGGTAAATTGACAACATCTTTTTCCAAAATCCAGGTGGAGTAATTATGCTTGGGAATGTCAAAATTATCAATAGACTCAAACATCCACAAACACACTTGAAACACAAAGATTTTTTTAATACAAACCCAGATAGCACAAAGAAGTACTAAAAACGTCCTGAGTATATCTTGTATCAGACATTAGTAAGTTCCGAGTACGTCCGAATCAGGTCCTGAACGTTCCCAGGACGTTCCAGGGACATCCGATGTTACTAAATCGTCGGTCCCCAGAACGTCCTAAGTAGGACATCCTCTGGCCATCCTGAAATGCTTTATTGGGGACTAAAGGACAAGCTTTACAGAATTGAAGAGTGGTATTCCCAAAGGCCCAGACAGCAATATGACGTATTTTATTAATTTGTTAAATGGATTTTATTAAAATCATTTTAATAATTTGCTCGTATTCGCTTATTTTAGGAATTGCGATTACTTCGTCTCACTTTTGTTTAAATTTAAGCGTGCTCTTCACCGGCACCGATAGACGGCCTGTTTCCCTCTTTTGGAGCTCGTCAGTATCGAGTAGCCGTTTACCTAGGTCTAAGACCGTTTGGTATGAAGCACGCTCTAAATTCTACTTTGCCGCTTCTTATATCAAACACAAGCAGTTACAGCGGTGAGAAGAAAGAATCGCAATAAAATGTCATAAATGTGACGTCTCCAAGTTGACGTCTTAAATAGTTAATAATATGATTTCAGTAAGAAGTAAGAAAAGATAATACTGTAAGATATCATATAACTACAGTTTAATTAAATAAATGATAATATATTATTTAACCAACTTGGCACTTAGACCCTTTGGAAACCCAATGCTTCAATTACGTCCTTGGGACGTACCCAGTATATCCGCTATAATTTTCCCAAATAAGTAAGAGACTGGACGTACCCAAAACTTCCGATATAGGTCTAGGACGTTCGGACCTATGTGGGACCCAAAATGGACGTCCTGGGTACCTCTTGTGCTATCTGGGAAGTTGTTCCGTGTACAGTGACTCCGAAGGATGATAGCGGTTTTTAAAATAAATTATTTTGAGAATTATATTTTGAGTTACTTCAAGCCCTTTTAAAGTAGTATCTAACGCATTCCCCCAAGCTATTATGCAGTATCTTATTTATTATTGAGTTTTCCATTGACAGCTGGAACAACGAGAAGTTTTCCAGGATTTTTGCCTTTAATGTATTAATTTTTTTAAATTACTATTAATCTATGAAAAAGTATAATTTTTTGAGAAAATGTAGAGGACTTAAGTTACTTTTAAACAAACAAAAAATAAATCATGTATTTTCATCCTAAGGTCTTTTTTACTTCGCTCGATTATTACTTAGTTTTTCAAATAGGGGATTTTTGCTTTAAAACGCAATAATTTTATAAAATCATTAATAATTAATGAACAATTCTAATTTTTTGAGGAAATGAAGGGAAAATGTGCTACTTCTAAACAAAAAAGAGAATTCATGTATGTCCATCGTAAGGTCTTTTTTACTTTGCTCAATTATTACTATTATTGTTATTTTATTGAAAATGGCATAACAAAACAAAATATCAATGATAATTTGCATTTAATGCATAATTAGTGTGCTTTGAAACGTAATTTTGTACTTTTATAATGTTGGTGCTACCTAAATATCTTTTAGGCAATCTTAAATTATTTGTTTTATAAAACAAATAATTTAAGATTACCTAAAAGATATTTAGGGAGCACCAACATTAGAAAAGTACAAAATAATAATTATGTAAATAATGAAATTGATTTTTAGATTGTTTTCGAACAATTTAATTTTAAAGAAAGTAACGTAGTTAAAATGGCAAAAAATAAACAAAATAAAACCCAGATAATTAGGTTTTTGGTATTTTAAAAATTGTTTACAACAGTCTTTTTTTGTTTAAAACTACAATATTTTCCCTTCATTTCATCAAAAAATTAGAATTGTTCATTAATTATTAATCATTTTATAAAATTATTGCGTTTTAAAGCAAAAATCCCTTATAGGAAAAAATAGTAATAATCGAGCAAAGTAAAAAAGACCTTAGGATACAAATACATGATTTCTTTTTTTTTTATTTAAAGTAACTTATATCCTCTATATTTTCTCAAAAAAATTATACTTTTTCATAGATTAATTGTAATTTTAAAAAATTAATACATTAAAGGCAAAAATCCTCTATCTGGAAAACTTGTTAGAGGCAATAGAAGGAAATAAGTTAGGACATTCAAATTTGGCATACATTTTTTAATATTTTTTAAAAACAAATAAGGGGGCGGCACGATTAAAATTTTGACATCGGTCAAATAAGAACCACCCTAGTATACATACATGTAAATTATAAAATTAAAAATGTTATATATTTATTTATCTTCACCTTTAATTTGGACGGTAATAATTTTAATTTAAAATAATGATTTTTTATTTAAATAAAACGTGTATAACTTGTGAGGTAAACCTCTGAATGCTTTCCGGACTAGCTACAGTGGAAATTAGTAGTTTTTTTTTTATAAGAAAAACAGTAATTTTGATTTGAAAATGGTTTCGTATATTAAGGTTTAAATGGAAAGTACATAAATAATTAATTAACTACAATAGTTAAGATCTTAATTTGCTCAAACAGAATATCCCTATGTAATAGTCAAACTCGTAGAGTTTGAGCTCTTTAGGCGCCAAGTAATCTTTTAAAAGAATTACTAAACTTTATTCTAAATATTACAATACAAATAATTTGGCGAGAAAATAAATATTACACGGAATATTAAAAATTCTATGAATAGATTTTCATATACGTTGAATCATAACATTTATCTATAAAATTAACTAAATAGAAAATTACTAGATCTCTGACCTTAGGACTGATGATTAAAATAACTCGATACGAAGTCTCAATACTGGATGCTCTATCGTCAAACCTTAGTAGTAGAAAATATCATCTAGGCACAAATCATAGTCAAGAATCGTCTATGTTTTTCTATTCCTCCAGTTATCGTACAAATGTAATATCCACCAACTGGTACTAATATGGTACCCAATTTTTTTTTGTCTATACAACAAGAAAAGAAATTAGGATTTTACTATAGAAAATAATAAATATAGTACGTTACCTCTTTTAAGCGAGAGACTGCAAATGGAACTTTTGACACAAAAATCCGATTAAATCGAGTATAATAATCATTTACTCTAATAACTATTAATATTTAACTTCTAAGTTACAAATCCGTAAATTACGCAATAATATATATTCAAACTTACTACTACAATATATATGTAAATGTTTAACGAAGAAAGTAGTGTCTAGCTCGCTGGTAAAATTAAAAATACTGTGCATATCGAATATTTCAGTGCTTCGCGATGTTGTACAAAAAATTCAGTAAAAACAAAAGTGGAATACGAAAAACCCAGTGCGAATTATTTTATTTATTTCTAAGGATTGACTATAGGCAACCAACAATACCATTTTAGTTTAGTTTTAAATATGATAATTAATAAATTTAATTATTTACTAAAAAAAGTCAATTTTTAACGTTACAAACTTTTATTATAAAAGTTAAACAATTAATGTTTTTCCAGTGCTGACACTCGGAAAAATTATTAAGTAAGCGCCTACAGCGAATGCAACCATCAATATATTATGGAACATGCTAAAAATATAT